GCTACATTGATAAAGTGTCCGTGCTGGCTAGGGGAAAGCATTTCATTCCGCGTACAGTATGTGAAGCTATCGAGAGTAGACGTCATTCAAATTTTAACCGTAGTAGAGGATGGACCCTTCAGCTTGAAAATAGTGTTAGGTACTACGTCTGTGGTTTGTGTGAATGAGACTTTAGGACGTGATGTGGGTAGTGTAGTGTGCAATCATACCCAACATTTTAATAAGAATGTAGTAAACGAACGTAGTAGCTCGCCTTCGTCGCTGCCTGTCCTTGCGCTCGTAATGAGTGACTGGGCTGTCCGGGCTTTGGTGAGCACGTTTCGTCGAGTCACCGTTACGCAAGCTCATGATGATTAAGGACCGCGGAATGGTTCGAAACATATCGAAAAAAGTTGGACTTAAATGATGCATACAGCTACGGCAGTTTTCTAATAAAAATTTAGTCTTCACCGCTATCTATCGATAAAGCTTACGACCATATTTACATGAGCATTTAAAACATAACAAAAAATGGGAACACTACAAACATCATTCTACCAAATAAATGGTCTGTATTGCAATTTAGCGTTTGTTGGCACAAACTTAATTGCCGTTCAGACGTTCCCAACGTTAAAATGAAATGAACGACTTTGAAAATTTAAGGTTGAGGCGTTAACCGTTTGGTCTTCAATTTGGTTAATTTAGCATTGGCTTTGAAATCAAACAAGGGTAATATTAAAATTAGTGCAACTTCTTAAACATATTATTTGGCGGAACTAACAAGTCGTGATCCTTGTGATAAGTGACACGCCAATCCGTAACAGTTGCAACGCCACCCAAAGCTTTAAATTACAAAGATCTGAGTGGCACTGCCGCATGCGTCCGAAATAATTATTGTAAGTAACATAAAAAAATACTCTACCAAATTAAAAGATCTTGGATTCAATTGACAAGCGTCAAGAGGCTTATAGGCGACTCGGAATTAGTAGAGGCAAAGCTGCAGAGCCTTGAACACCGCCGTAAAGTTACTTGCTTATCGATATTTTACAGGATATATCACGGAGAGTGTGCGATGGAATCACGCGATTTAATTCCACCTTCTCCTTTCTATCATTCGGGAGATTAGAAGTAGGCTTGGATTCCATGTTATGGATATTCCTAAGTTTCGCACGAAGCGTTACGCTTCCACATATATATGACGAACGGCTATGGAGTGGATTTCCCTGCCGGCAGTATTTGGGTGTGCATGCTCCATCGTCGACCTCATTGTCACTTTCCATCAGGTGAGATGGAGGTCTAATGCGCACTTACATTTGTATAAAAAAAGACAATCAAGTACAAGCTTCATACTTGGCATTGTCCTAATTTTGACGAGTATTACTTATTTGATGGACGGATGTTGGACGGAGAACGAAAGTACAGTTTCGTGTCCGTGATTCAGACAAAAGTAACTTTGTTGTTGTTTTCTCACGTTGCTTAAAAAACATTTCCTTGTAAATCTCGACAGGAACGGAGATTGACTGAGTCATTACTCACTATATTAAACAAAACAGGTAATCCCTTACTTCCCGGTCTCTGAAATAGTGTACTATTCGTACGACATGTTTTTAGTTCCCAATATAGAACGGCAATTCCATTGTATATTACAAAAGTGTCATTACAATTTTGTCCATTATTTCCTTTGTGAAATTCAACCGTGCACCATATTTTTATGGACAAACGCAGTGTAGTCCATCCTGGACTGAATTTGTCAACAGGCATCAGCATCGTATGCATAGCAAAAGTGTACAGAGGCCTGAGTGTAAACATGTAATCATTCAAATTTGACTATAGCGTTTGCGTTAAGATTTTTGTTTAGAGTTTAATTTAGGTCGATTAGAATCCGGCCGGATTGAAGGAATTTTTCCTAAGTGTTCGACCTTTGTATTAATAATTATAACGAGCTAGTGGAGTAATTTTATATAAAATAATGTAATATCACAGCGGTGAAATATCCTCACATTCAATAAAACACTCAATCAGTGAATAGGGATATCTCTAGCCAGGACTGGTAGTTGTAAAGGTGCCTAACTGGGTAACGAAATACTTTCATAGGTTTCTCATAGAGGGCGCTACGGCTGAAAAGTCGTTTAAAGCCAGCTACAAAGGTTCGACATACAAGCACATAGAAAAATTCGTGAGGTCCGCTGGTTCGTTCCGTGGCTTACGGTTCGAATCCGGTCAGATGGAATTTTTTCTAAGTGTTCGATGTAGTGTATCAGACTAGTGGATTAATTTCACAAAAAATAATTGATCTTCATAGTGGTGAAATATCCTCACATTCAATGAAACATTTAGATATTAATATGTTTATAAGGTTTAAATTAAAATCTTATGCGATACTTAAGTTTACATTTGAAAACTTACACGTATTCGTTCGAAAACCGAAAAAAGACGGTTTGAAATGTCACAGGGTTCATTTTATCACTAGGTGAACAAGCGACACTTGAATTAGGCCCGAGTTTTATAAATTTGAACAGTCCTGAATTCGGGACGAATTCGGGTGCAGTGCGAAACGCGCTACAAGCCCCAAATGTATTAGCAGCACGTGTGATGCTGAGGGTATTGACAAGTGATACCCATTCTTTCCTTATCAATTCACCATACGGCCACGCCGGCTCAATGCGAGTTGTGAACCTTCTTCTTATAGGTTTCATCACGATGTTTTCCTTTATTGAAAAGCTCATGTTAAATTTAAAGTTTCGCACATAAATTCCGAGAAACTCAGAGGCACGATTCGAACCCAAGGCCTCTGTTTGAGACACTGTAGCTTAAATCATTAGGCTACCACGCCTTTTTTCTCAAGGCATTACAATTAAATTCAACGCTAGATTTTAAGGCTTTCGTGGTTATTCACTAAATTTTATCACTAACTACAGGTTTTTTTTATCACGGTATGAGTTATTTTTGTTTTTCCGATGTTTTGGAACAGTTACACGCTCCATGGTCACGGGTTGACTGGAAATGGCTTTGGTTGATTCCGCACAAACTGGAAGTGTTGAATTAATCAGTTTGGAAAAAATGTAAAGGAAAATTGAGAATATACACTGATATTACTATATGGTGTTAAAATATGATTCCTAAAAATATACACAATAGAAAACGAAAAACACAAAGTTATTTCGAAATTTTATAAGAAAACCGCAGTATTCAACTTTATATATACCAATGACTATTTTTACACCAACTGAACCAAATAGAACACGTATAGTATACAATACACATTTTTCAAATGGTTTTGGTTTCGTTAGAAAAAAATCTGAAATAAAGTCAGAGTCCCTGCCACTCGACTAAACAAAATGAACCGAATTAATACGGGAAAATTTTTAATTAGAGCTGAGGTGGTATACCTCTGAAGAGCAGACATTTGTCTACTTTCTTTAGCTGTTGACGACTACCTTTATCTTAACTATTTGTGGCGTTACCACTCTCACTCACTTTTTTCCGACAAACCACACTGACTGTAACCACACGCGAAACGAAATCGAAGCATTTTTGTTTTTATTTTTAGTAAGCACGAGCACCGGATTCGCCTTTGGATTCGGAATCGGGAAAACAAAAATAACTCATACCGTGGTAAGAAACCTGTATTCATTCGAAAGTGTCATGTTTGTTGTACCAAGTTGAATTACCACGGTATATATACGAGAGAAAACATTTCCTCACAGACTGCAGCACGCTCATACCTAGGTACCTTAGGAAATTTACCAGTTTTTGAACCCATTTATACCATTAAAAAGTTATTCATAAATTCAAATTGTAAGTACTTATTTCTTGACCAATTTAATCTGTTAACAATTATTACAAAACACGATTGGATTACATTTTCTCGACGGAATTAAATCCTAATATAGATACTTATTATTGACCAAATCTTGTTTTATTTATAATACAAATGAAGTTATACGCAAATGTCGGTTGTAAATGTATGTTATGATCATGGACCATTAAGTCAAGAGGATTGCTAATCTTCGTACAACACTGATCGTAACTCTGTGAAAGGTCAAAATTCCGTCATTTTGGCACTGATCAATATAGCCTGGAAGTAGTTTATATTAATAAAATGACCGTGGATGTCATTGACTTACAAATAAATGGACGACGGGTCTAATACAAAAACCACGAAAAAAATGTCCCAAGTCAACCTATTCGAAATTTAAATTGTAATGTCATCGCAGTATCGCGCTGTCAGTCGAACAAATGAAGACTAAAGCGGAGTTTGGCGCTCTGTATACGATTTTAGCGCCTTACAAGTGCGGACACTTTTTAGCGCGGACCCGACGTCCATATAATTGTAAGTCAATGGTGGATGTCAATTAATTCCTCTAGGTAGATACCAACAAAAGGTGAGTTACGAACTAATTAATAAATTAATGCTTCTTAATATAAATAGATAACGCTATTCCTAAACAAAATAAACCATTTAAAGTAAATTTGGGAATAATCAATCAATGAATCAATCAGCCTATTGCAGTCCACTGCTGGATATAAGCCTCTCCAAGTGTACGCCATAGTGCCCGATCACCCGTTTTCCGCATCCATCCACTATTCGCGACACTCTTCAGATCGTCGTCGGTCCATCTTGCAGGGGGACGTCCTACGTTACGTTTGTCGAGACGTGGACTCCACTCAAGAACCCGACTACTCCATCGCTCATCGGTTTTGCGACTGATGTAGCCAGCGCACTGCCACTTCAGCTTGCTACATTTCTGGACGATGTTCCAGACTTTCCTTAACGAGATACCCAGCGTAGAACTTTCCATAGCTCGCTAAGCGACGTGTAGACTGTGAGCCAGTTTGACCGTCATAATCCATGTCTCGACTCCGTAATAGAAATAAGAACAGCGAGCAATAAGTTCGAAATAATGCCAAACTTCAAGGCTAAAAAACAAAGGAACTTGATTTTCTTGAACTCTTAAAGCGTTTCAGTGTTGTAATCTCAAAAATAAGAAGTATAATAGTCATTTTATAGTAATACTTACAACCATAGCAACTGTGTGTGTACAAAGCCATCCGGCCAACAAGGTTCCGATGGTTCCAGCGACTAAGCCCGAGTTCTTGAAGGCAGCAGGCATGGCCAATATACCGGTACCGAGACATGCTTTCAGGAAATGCAAAATTGCGCCCAAAGTTCTGTAAACAATAAAGTACAAACTTGAATGTGCCTAATGGACACCGAGTATATAACCAGAAGTAGAGACGAAATGTCATTTAATTTGTTTGAAAACTATTCTGCCATATTATTACAGTGACAACTGTGCTCCAATTGGCCAGCCCGAATTCGAAACAATTGACGGGTGTCGTCAATGGGTGTCGTCAATTGTTTCACTTCAAAACGACCAGATAACTTGAGCTTTGCTATGATTGTCGAAAATTGCAAAATTACACATTTAATATTTAATTACCGATGAAATTCGATTCCGTTTGTTTCGTAATTAGATGTTTTGTTGTATCTCTCTACACCACCGAATGGAACAGCACGCCATCGTTAAAGATATTATCTTTATTACAATATACACAAAATATTTTTGGAATATACGGAGACGTACACACAGGTCAGTTGTTGGCGCTGTCTATATTTCATTCCAAACGAGTGTTGATTGATGATTGATTGTATTTATAAGTGATATGTCACTGATGAGTTGCCAGCAATGTACTTTATTTCATCTCTATTTCTGGTTATATATAAGGTTCGTTACCCAACGTGTCAAAAAGTTTTAGGCGTCCTCCTGTTATCGTACATGAAATCTAGCGCCTAGCATTTAAGGCTTAAATACAGCTAATTTTATTTTTATGATAGCATGTGACAGGACGAACAAAATGTGAACCTGGTTTGTAAGCGACACACCTGTCCATTGCAGATTATTGATTATTATACATTTTAATATTATTCATTATTATTACATATTATATTATTGGGGTCCATAAAGGGAGCCTCCGCACATGACGAACTTTTCTGTACGTCTGTCGCACCCTGGGCAAGAACCGGCGAGTACCTTACCAAGCATTACATCAATACGATAAAAAGAAGAAGAATAAGAATTATTTTTGTACCTAATTACCTAACACAAAGATCTGCAACAAGCACAGAAAGCATGGTTTACTAGTTTCTTATTATAATCATTGATATAGAGATCGAACAAAAATTCCTTTACTCTAACTGGACTGTTGCCACACCGGGGTGTAGATAGATATCTTGAGAGCATGTTGTATAAATGAATTGTAAACATGAATTTAGTTTTTTTTATAATATCAAGTGACGGGACAAACAAGTCGTACGCCTAATGGTAAGCTACACGCGTGTCCATAACAGTATCAGTGCCACTTCTTGCACTAATAGCTTTAAATCGCAAAGATCTGAGGGGTACTGCCACTGCGCCCTTCGCCCTGAGACATAAGTTGACAAGTCCCATGTGCCTGTAATTTTGCCAGCACCCACAGCCTTCAAAACCGGAACACAATAATGCTGACATTACTGTTTGGCTGCAGAAATAGGAAAGGTCCTTGGACGAACTTTTTCATAAGGGGCTCTACTGCTACTTAAAAAGTTTTGAAGTTACTACAGGTACTACGTGTACTAAGGTACAGGTAAGTATTTGTGTGGTCACTGGTGGGGTAGGTGCGCCACATACAGGTTTAGGGTAACCTAAACTTCAAGGTTTCTACCCTTTATCTAGTTCTTATTATTATAACATCACTATCAATATGTGACTAATTACACTTTGTGCCTTAAAGTCATTGTGTACGGGGTGCACGAAATGAGCCTCCCCACACAACTTACCACTTTTTTCTTGTACATATGGCACATCCGGGGCAACAAGCTACGAGTACTACGTCGATTGGTAAATTTTTTCACCATAACAAGCATTGTACGACACGATTTTGAGACATGACAGTAAGTAATTAATAATAATTATAGGCAAAATACAAAACTGCCTCCGTGGCCGAACGGTTACCATACCGGACTGCCACGCAGAGGTCCCCGGGTTCGATTCCCGGGCCGGGAGAAATATTTGTATGGCCTACATTTATTTCTCTCGTGAGTTTGGGTGTAATTTGTGGTTGTTTATGTATGTGTCCATGGCAGCCGAGACACAGGGTTTCCCTAGTGCGGGGCTATGTTGAGTGTGTGCGTTATTATTATTATTATTATTGTTTATCAGAGGAATTTTAAGGAGTACAATCTATCGTCTATTGACATAGATCTGTTCAGTACCAGTGTAGGCTTGATTCGATGAACGTTTACTAAGCAATATTTTACGTTAATTCCTGTCTATAAGACATGAGTGTTGTTGGTTGGGCTATATAGGATTCGATATTTTTCCTTTTTTTTTCCTTTTTTCCCCTGTATTGGCAATTGTACCTGTTCTTAATGTGTAAAATAATATTGTGTTCTTTCCATTTCAATAAAGTTTTAGTTTCTGCTGACTAAAAAGTAAAATATTTTGTTATACTTGTGGAGATTTGTATTTAATTAGCATTTTCACCTGTTACTTAACATATATTTATTGTTAAAAATTCGCTGTAAATCTTCCAAAAATAAATAAATAAATAAGTTAGTAACTTTACTCACGTAGTTGGATGTTCGATTTGTCGGTGCTCGAATGGGTTGTATGGCTTCTCATCACACACGACATCTTTAGAGGCTATGCTTAGCGACGACTTGAAGCCTGGATTACCAGTTAGGTCAGCTCTGTAACAAAGAACATACGGTTCACTTTTGTATTGCAATTTGTAAGTCGTCGGCCTACATGCAGTTTTGAACTTGAGCGATTACAGTGCTATTATGGGTTGACACTGCCTCACCTCGAATTCAACGTAATGCTGACATTACTGCTTGGCGGCAGAAAGAGGCAAGGTGGCAGTACCTCTCTGGACGAACTCTTTCACAAGGACCTCTACTGCTCTAGAACACGTAAGAAATGAAATAACTTTTTCTAGATTTAAACTCGCGCATATTTGTTTTTTAAACAAATCAATGTTCCGGTATAGTGCCATGGTCATGGCTGATATTTATTGTTAAATATTCAACAATATTCGTTTTCAAAGAATGCAAAAAAGTTAAAGTTACATTCGTTTGATGTTGTGAAAATAAATACGACATCAATCCTACCAAAAGGTCAAAAATATTTTTTTTAGGCAAAACTTTATTCTCAATATTCGTTGAGGTTCTGCTTATCTGTGATTTCAGTATTCTACTTGCGCAATACTTTCTTTGTCACACTAAAAGCCTTGTCTCAAATTAGCAAATTCCGAGTATTATAGGGTCATTCGGGGTAACTGAGCGCTGTGGGTAAGTGTGCGAAAGATCTATATCTCCAGAACGAAGGAAAGAGAGGTTGGCGGTGTGTTCGGGTCAAATCAAGGGTAACTTATTAGTTCCGATTTGGCACATTGTCACCGGTTAATGTTTTTAAGAATCTGTTTTTGTTGTTTATGTCCATAGATTTTTGTATCTCAAAAACAGTGTATATAGCAACTGTATTTTTATCCCGTAACTGTTTATTGTATATAACTCTCTATATTTCTTTAAAAAATTCAGGCTATAGTCGGTTCCAAATATTTCTTGATTTTCATTTGCAATTCTGTGCTCGAAGGAAAGAGCACGTGGGTAAGTGTGCGCGTGTGTGCCCTTATAATTTTTTACTACTTACAATATTTGTAACATGCTTTCATTTTATATTTCAGTACCTAATCGTCATACCTCTGAATTCTACATGGTTATTTTTATAATACTTACAGCCTCGCCACAGAAACTATATTAATAAATTCATAAACAACAACTTTTTTTAACTGCCTATGTGGCCGAACGGTTACCATGCCGGACTGCCACGCAGTGGTCCTGGGTTCGATTCCCGGGCGGGGAGAAATATTTGTATAGTCTACATTTATTTCTCACGTGAGTATGGGTGTAATTTATCATTGTCTATGCGTGTGTCCATGGCACCCGCGATACAGGGTTTCCCTAGTGCGGGGCTATGTGTGTGCGCGCGATATTATTATTTTTCCATGACTTTTTACAAAACATTATAAATTTACGAAAAATAATCTTTTAAATGTTTGTTGTAATGCCTTACAGTTTTTAGATCTGCATTTGGTAGAATAAGTTCAAACGTGCAAGCGTTCTCCGCAACGACTCCCATCTCCGTCCCGAACACAGATATTACCATTTAGAACGATCTATTTATTTTGTATGAATGTAAAATCTGATGATTTATTAAGTCATAGAACAAAAGTTATTGTTTATGATGTTAATAATATAGTCCTGCGATGTTGTTAGTATTTTAAATAGCCCAAACTTACATCAGTTTTTACGTTGATAAGATATTAATAAGATATTACTTTCTATTTTTCATATTTTTATATTACATATAGTAAGTAATATCAACAATATAATTCAAACATATTTAGGTTTTTTAATAAACAATACTTTTTTATTATTATATTATATAATTATTTTGACCATGGGAAGCAATGCACTCACGTATCCCACGTGCGTCTACTTACCTACCCCGTAAGGCTGATGCAAACGCGCGTTCGTGAAACTAAAATCGCGCGCGTGTGTAAAAGGTAGACGACAAGTGGCTGTATCGCGTTTGCATCGCTGCTAAAGTCGCCATTCGTAATCACTCTTGAGTTTTTGTTGTGATTTGAACTTAGACACAAACAAATGCTTCACTTATAATCTCAGTACAGAGTACCTACTAAAAAAACCGAACTCAAAAGTACGTGGAATTACATATAATTACCAAGTTTTATTGAAATCGGTTACCGGAAAGTGCGCAAACCCGGATTCATCTCCTAGTTCGCCTCTGTAAGGGACTTGACACAGGAGACAATAAAAATTGATTCTCACTTCTCAAAGTATATTGGGAGAGAAAAACGCCTTGAATTAAAGAATAGAAAAATCAACCATTAAAATAATTGCTCATTATACTAAAATTTAGGCGCTATTTATAAAAATGAATCTTCATGCGTGAACAGTCAACCTTAGAGGTGGATGATTTTCTTCAAAATTAAATGGGACCACTATGGAGGTACCCTCTTTCCAACAAAAAAAGAATCATGAAAATTGGTTCACAAATACCGGAGTTATCGCGTAACATACATACAAAAAAAATTACATATAGTCGAATTGAGAACCTCCTCCTTTTATTGAAATCGGTTAAAAATGTCTGCGTGTATGGAGGGTGTGCTTGTGAGGGATGTGATTGTGTGGGGTGTGTTTGTGAAATAGTATGCAATGAGATATATGTAGGTATACAACATATACTAAAAAAATTACTTGCGAACTTTGTATGTGTGATGAGATAATCATAAATAATGTTATAAATGTATGTGATTATACCCATTTTCTTTTATAATATCAAGTGACGGAGCGAACAAGTCGTGCGCCTGATGGTAAGCTACACGCCTGTCCATAACAGTTCCAGCGCCACTCCGAGTTTTCAATCGCAAAGATCTGAGGGGCACTGCCACTGCGCTCGTCACCCTGAGACATAATTGCTATTCTCCAACGTTTTTCTCGCTCAATATACTTTGAGTAATGAGAACCGATTTTTATTATCTCCTGTGTCAAGTCCCGTATAGTGGTGAACTAGGGGATGAGTCCGGGTTTGTTCACATTCCGGTTACCGATTTCGATAAAACTTGGTAATTATATGTACTTCCACGTACTTTTGAGGTCAGTTTTTTTGAACTGTTATAATTGTCTAATGTGGTTAATTATAATTAGTTTCGCTATATTTGTGTGTTTTTTGATTTGTTATTCTATATTCTAATAAAGTACTATAGTTAACTCGAAGATAATAAAAATTAATAAATGTAAAAAAAGTTACATTTCCAGAGTGTAATTTAAAAATTCGCTTTGCATTGGTACTACCGAGAATCGAACCCGGGACCACCTCATTAATTGCTCACCTAATGGATAACGCCACTAAGAATCGTATTCCAGAACTCTACTCAATACTCAAGTCAGGACTTGAACAGACTTGAGTATGATTTCAAGCACTGGAAATACGACCCTAATGGCACGTACTTGAGTATGATTTTCAGTGTTCATGTAATACTCAAGTCCTGACTTGAGTATTGAGTAGAGTTCTGGAATACGACCCTAAGACATTCAAAGTTAGGATATCCATGACACTGCGACAATAGTGCAACTGTCATACAAAGCCATTTACGACTGCGATAATGTGAATGTCTCAAAATAAACTGGTTAGTTTAACGGACCAAGGGCATGACCAGTTTAAGATGACCACCAAGCTCCACGGAAACTGGTCGTTGCCATCATTTCTTTAAATAATACTTTCATTAGACACAGAGACAGAGTGTGAGACAAACCTGTCCGTGGACAGATTGTAGGGTGGTGAATATGAGTCATGTGTAAGGTTATATTTTGCATCGACTGTACACAGAATCAGTGAGCCGTATAAACAATAGAGAGTACTTGATTTCTCATTGACAATTTTACAAAAGAATCGATGCGGATGGTTAGACACGGTTGCGTAATTCACAACAAATCAAGGCTAATTCAGAGATAATTAAAAAAAACGTTGTAGAAAACATTATAGTTTTGCGTTTATATTTAGAATTACATCTGCCGCAATTTCGTTGCTTTGATATCTACTCAGAAAATTCTTTAGTTTATATCTTTTGAGTGCGACTGTATAGTCATCTTCTGAGTTGGCTAGTTCCATCTTTGCTCCAGGGCTAGGTAGTGGTACTAAAGCAAGAGTATTTATTTAAAAGAAAGTTTTAGCAGCAGTAGAGCTCCTCATGAAACAGTTCATCTAGGAAAGTACTGCCACGTTACATAATTCTGCCGCCTAGCAGTAATGTGAGCATTGCTGCGTTCCGGATTTGAAAGGCAAAGGTGCTGGTGAAATTGTGATGAAAAAGGCGGCAGAAATGGCTAAGGTAGAAATACTTACCTGGACGAACTCTTTTCACAAGGATCTTTATTGCTACTAAGTTAAGGTAATAAATAAATCGTATAAAATACTTACGTGGATTTGAAGTTGTCGACTGAAGCGTCTTCTTTCTTATTCGAACTCATTTTTTACAGTAAATGATAAATCTGAAACAAAAACATGATATTCTTTTAATATACTATAGTATTAGCTGTAATTTTGGACTGTTCAATACTAGTCCGTGTCTACCAACCCGAGAGATAGGGTTTTTCGGAGAGACTATAGGCTCAACGGTAAGACCAGGGTACGGCGGACGTCCGTGCCAAGTACTCTGTCAGTCATATGCCTTCTTGGGCGTCTCTGGCGGACCCGGACTTGGGTACGGACTCACCGGGCACGGGTTTGTGGTTAGCTGCAGGGAACGGACACGTTCGTCTGCCCCGGTGGTGTGTGGCCGGGGCGCTCATCACGCGCGCGCAGCTAACGCGTCTTAGTAGCGGTCTAATTGAGGGCCCGAGGCGGGGAAACGCGCGAGAGACGTGAGTTGCCCTTCAAGTCGGGGTTATGTCCGGACACTGTCGCAGGACACTGCCACTTGGCATACCCGGCACTTGCCCGGAGAGCTAGTAGAGGATGAGCTAGACATCTACCTTCGGCCGCGTAGGAATTTGGGAACTGGAGAGACGCCGTTCATTCGGCGTCGGGAACTGAGCGTGCCTACAGCTCCGGTACCTATCTAGAAAATAGGGAGGGTGCACCGGGGGCGACTCACCTAAGGTACCAGCCTTACAGAGAACCGGATGAAGTACGTGCAAACGTGCTAATCCGGGGTTAGGACTTAGATGGACCGCTCTTACTGTAACCGGCATAGAGTTGATTTTAAATCTTATTTGCGCGAAAAGAGCCTCGCTGCGCGACATACCATTTCTTTCTGGTACGTCTGGTGCACATTGGGCAACTATCAGGGAGTACCTTACGCCTATTGGCAAATAATTTCACCACGATGGTAAGCATTATAGTATTTGCCAAATACGTTATGAAAATGTCTGGTAAAGTAACTTAAAATTAGTTATGATGCCTTAGGTAATTGGTTTTTCGTTTTCAGGTAAGCATTTAATGTTGTTATTTTTTGTACTTTACTCATTTTTAAGTTAATTCTTGTTTGCTATAGTAATAATTATTAGTACAAATATCTAAATTAGTACTAAAAAAAAATTCGATCCGTATTTTATATATTATCCGTAAGACCCGGTTAGATTCGCACCAACATCTTCCAGCAAACCGTGCCGTGCCGTGAGGTTTGTTCGAAAAAACAAATATACGCGATTTAATCCGGAAAAATAGTTTCATTTCCTAATGGAATAATTTCATGAAAATAATTGAACATCGTGGCAGTCAAACATCGTGACATACAATAAACTTAACAATTTATTCTTGTTGCATAGTTATTCGGTTATTTGTACTGTCTTTGCTTCTCAGGAGAAAGGCTTAGCCTAATGTGGGGATCTTAGTTCAAATATGTAAATCTGCTAATATGTAAATTATTGTTCAAGTAGATGTAAATATTTTGTTACACTAACGAAAAAATACGTAACAACTATACTATTGTTGGTCAAGTCAATATTATTTCTTCTTACTACGCCAGCCCACGTACAGTCTTTTTAAGAATGCTTTCGATTTGATCTGAAAATATTTTTGCTGCCCGTATAACATCTAAATTTTTAATTCAAATACTACATAAAAGCAATAATAAAAAAATTACTAAAATTACTAAGTATGAATTCTTATACCACAACCCTGACAGCAGTTATTACTTTCCGTTTGAAATAAGTTCAACGAGACTTCCTCGAATATCTTCTTTAAACCTAACAATTTTCAGAAAACATTCCTTTCAGAAAATTTTTATCTAAAAGAAGAAAAGAAGCGAAATTTTCTCACGAATAAAGCATTATTTATTAGGAAATTTCGCTTGCTTTGTTCGTCGCCATTCGTAACGTTCTGCGACACAATAAGATGTTAACTTCGTATAGCGTATCGTTGAAAGTTGTCATGGTGCGGTAAAGTGAAGAATACTTGCCCACGCAAAAGATTTTTCGAATACCTTATCTCATACGAGACAAGATATCCGAAAATATATTTTACGGGTCCCTTCCAAATTTATACAAAGGATGGTAATGTACTACAATTACACGTTGCTATGCAACTCTATTCGTGACACTCCCCATCTAGAAGGATCCTGAAGGTTCGACTACACATACTTTTTTTTAATGCCGAGTGACGGGACAAACAAGTCGTGCGCCTGATGGTAAACATAGTAACGCGCCTGTCCATGACAGTTGCAATGCCACTCACGAGCTTTAAAACACAAAGATCTGAGGGGCACTGCCACTGTGCCTGTCACCCTGAGACATAAGTTGATAAATTTCGTGTGCCTGCACAGAAAAAAAGGATTTCTAATAATAAGAAAGAGCAATTTCTCAAAATATTTGCTAATTCTGAAAAAAATACTTATTAAAAGTAATAAAATATTCTCATTTCAAAAATATTGCTTATCTTTCTCTAATACAATTTTACTCTTAACTTTATTCTAACTTTTAGACAAATACGTTCACTTCAAGATTTTATTTCATTTCTAATCAATTAATTGGACTTTACTTACATCAAGAAAGTTTTACCTCTTACATCAAATTTAAATCATCCTAAGTGAATTCAAAATTTCTTGGGTGTATTTTAAGAAAATATATTCTTAAACAAAAAAAGAAGTAGTTTGCTATTCAGATTAATATTCTAAATTCTAGAGTATATTTTTAAAGCAACATTTCGTTGCGTTTTCACAATCAATATTGTCGTGACATGTCGCCGAAGGCGCACGCGGTAACGATTACTTTTACTTGTGCTTGTAATAAAAAAATCATAAACAGCGACTCTAACACACCTATTTCGTACCATGAAAATTGATTTCACATTAGATGCAGAGTTTCAAGACATTATACCGAACCGTTAACATGGTAACGATATAATCTTAATATTACGCTTGAATAATAGAGTTACTGTCTACGAGTTTATTTCTTCTAATACTGTTTATAGCATAGACAAATTCGTCGGCTAAATTTGTTAACCTTGTAACCTCCGTCAATGTGAACTTTTGTGTAGACACAAAACACAGAATATGTAACATAAGTAGGTAATTATACTATAATAAATGATTGTAACATAATACAAATATTCTTTATTGCACATGGACAAATACATAATAATATAAAAAAATAAAAATGACAGGTACCACAGGCCACCTTATTGGTAAATAGCATTCTCTTACTAGCAACCTTCGGGTTACAGGAAAAATTGTAATATAAAATTATTTGAAGGCGCAACGCACATATTGCACATATACAAAGGAAGAAGAAAATAATAAAAATAACGATAATAAAATACTAAATAAGTAACTAAATGAAAATAATAATAGTATAAATAATAATAATAAATATAAGAAAAATATACACATAATTATATAAATTGATGACTGTATAAAACACGGTAATAATAACAATTTGTACAAGATTTAAAACAGGTAGGAATGGGAGAAATAATAATATTTAGAATGTAAGATAGTGAGCTTAAAGTACAGTTTTGAAAGAATTAACAGACTAAGCGCGTCTGATTGATTCGGGGAGGGAATTCACAACAGTTTGATGCTTCTAACCTTGAAGAAGTTAGAAGAGTGGACATATAAAGCTTAAGGAAAGATTAAGATAATAAATTTTTAAATAAATAGAGAACAGAGTATAGATTGGATAAAATGCGAAAGTCCCTACGATGACGAATGAGTAGCCATCCAAGTTTGGATCGAAAGTGTGAAAAATGGTCAAATTTACGCAAGCCAAAAATAAATCTAATGCATAGATTCTGAAACCGCTCCAGCTTATAGAGTAGACCCTCAGCCCGTTTATAACTAAAGGAAGGTCTACAAATTACCCAAGCAGCACACCCATATTTAAATATATACTATAAGACATCTAATAGAGTTTAATTCGATTGAATATTTTAAGAGTTCAAATTCCCTCAAGATATCTCAAAGAAGGTTTCTAGATAATTTATAGTAAAAGTGGGCACATCTTTATTAGTAGATCACAAGAGTGCTTTGAGAAACTATCTGTAGGTAGTGTTAAGAGTGATTCTTATCTTTTTCTGAAGTAACCCTTCTAGAATACTACAAGACCATTTGTAGAATGTAGACAGTTTTTATTTAGTCTTGTAGATAGTTTTTAGATAGTTTATAGTCTATGATAGTTTTCTTAGTAATGCCATTTTAAAACCAAAATACTAAAGCTTTACAAACATAGGACGCAATTCTCTTAATAGTAATAGATTTCATGTTTAATGGCTTACAAAATATAAACTATATAAATTGCAACATGGCGAAATTAAATATAATATATCTGACTTTTTCGCGCGATGTTTAATTGGTTGGAAAGCGCAAATTGACGTGCGACTTTAAATACATTGTGAAAAGTGATGTAAAACCTGTCATAAAAGTAATGCGCTCGCTAAATTTTAAATATTTAAGTATAAAATATAAACTTAATAAAAATACAGTTATGGATTTTCGGTTTTAAATATTTATAGAAAGCTTAAATATACAAAATAATTCACAAAACAAACCATTTCCAAGAAGTTCTAGGCTTTTTCAACTTAGATTTACTTTTTAAAAAGAAAACAATTTTTTCTCGGCTACTTCATAGTCATTATTTGAAAATAAAAATGGCGATAAGAATTTAAAGCTTTTTTCAAAACACGGTTGCGAGCATTTTGTCTATAGCTTTATCTATAGAAAAAACTTTAAAATACGAAAAGATTATTTTTACTTGCTTTAGTGTAGTTGAATTTGTCGAAGAATATTCCTCCTATGAGATTTTTATGATTGTCTACAAAACGCGATGTTTCTAAGCGATTGTTTCTTTTGACAGTATTACAAAACCCTTATAAGCTTTTACCAAATAATAAGCGCTTTATGCATAAAAAAACTTTTCAAAACACTAGGTCAAAAAAACAATGGGAAAAAATCCAATTTGTCGCAAAAAAAACGTTATTTTGCATAATTGTATGGAATGTGTTATAATATGACTAGAAAGGTGGATAAATTTAC